TGTCAGCTTAATGTGGGAGGAAAGCCCGAAGTGATGCAGGTCTCAGACGTTTACCCCAACTTGAGACCTACAGCGGGTAGCCGGGTAGGGTCGGACAATAGGGTGTCGGGTACCCGGGTAGTAGTGGACTAGTTCCAGGTCTACCCCTTACCATTTCAGATGTCATCGTTTGATTGTATGTTCTGGTATGTATGTGTATAAATGTATAAATACATCTTCCCCCTGATCAGCCCTGCAAAAGTGGTCACAATTTAGAGGATCTATATCACAACATATTTAGTTGTCCACTTTTTACAAACTTATGAAAAAAATCAATAATTTTACATCAGAAATATCTTAATTTGGACTGATGAAACCTATCTCATAGTGATCCAAAGACACATGCTTATGATACAGTGGGAACTGAACTATGGACACTGCATTTAGCAGATAATTGTTCTGGTTGTTGAAAATGTTTCGTTGTTTCTATTAAGATACTGTATAAAAACATTGTTGAACCAGTTATGTATTTTGGTGTGTGTTTTTAATGTTTATTGATTATTTTATTTATGTTTTATTTCTACATGGAAATGATTTTATGATATATGATACCTTTCCTAGCATTTGGTTGTGTTGGGTTGATAATAGTTGGTAAAAGTGCATGTTCCCTTCAAACAAACACAGACAAACTTTAAAAATGAAACAACTTCATGTGTATAATGGAATCTAATGTCTACTTCGTGTGTAGAAAATGTTTCAGCTATCAACATTTTCTACATGAAGATACATTTTACACATTGACAAGGTCTCAATTTACAGATAAGAATTCTAAGAGCTGATGGTTTGGGCATAACTTTGTATATTCATCTGAGGCGAAGGATTAACCTTTTTGCTAACACCTGGAGTCATCACTGATTTTCAGTGATCCATTTTCGTATCATTTTCACCACTATGTTTTGCCTTTAACACCCAATGGAATCTGTTTCGTTGGAAAATCAAGACTGGTTATTCCCTTGTATTGACTTTTTATATGTTTACAACAGTGGTTGTTTACGACATGAGTAATGGCTGTTAACAACATCTGGTGATACATACATAATACCAAATGAAATGTTGGTATGCCTGTTATGTCTGGGGTTTGTTTGACATGGATATTAGATATTGTCCAGGCCACACATTTCAGCAAGAGGTAAGCTAATGTGCTTTAAAAAAATATTTAGTCTGGAAACAATAATTAGAATTACCTAAACAAACAGGTAAGTATTTATATCTCCCTTTAAAATAACCTAAATAACCTAATAGGGTGGATGTATATAGTTATATCAAGGAATTTTGTACGTCTGTCTTTCTGTCCTTCCAAGGAAACTTGAAAACTACTGCATAGATTGTTTTCAAACTTGGTGAACAGTTTCTTTACTATGAGGAGAGGTGCAGTGCTAAGTTTGATTTCAATATTTGGATTTTCTGAAAAAATACAGCTACTATTCATTTTTTTACTTTTTTACTTAAACACTTGTGTGCCCTATGACTTGAAAACTACTTAATGGATTCTTTTCCTATTGGGGTAACAGTTTCTATACCAATAGGAGACGTGCAGTGCAAAGTTTCATTTACTGATAAAATATTGCTTCCAACTGTCCATCTGTCAGTTGATTTTCTGAAAAAAATACAGTGTTGTTTATGTTTGTGACTTTTGGCCTGTAAAATTGTACATCCTTTTTAGTTGACAACTACTGCATGGATTGTCTTAACAGGATGGAACATTCTGTATGCTATTGAGAGAGGTGCAGTGCCAAGATATGCGTGATGGAAGAAGTGTCAAATGTTACTTTCTCTTTTTCAAATGTACTATTGAATATATGTACTGTTGCACATTCAAAAGCATTTCAGAGAGTTTTTCATGACAACTAATTTCCGTCCTGTCGGTTGATTTTCTGAGAAGAATACTGTTTTTTGTTTTTGACTACTGCATGTTGGGATTCATTTGACTTGAGGTCGGGTGTATCAGTGAGCCATGCTCAATTTTTTGCCATGTTTAGATAATGTTATTTGAAACATGAATACTTTTGACAGACGACATATGTAACTGTAAGACTTTTGAAAATAAGTGAAACGATTTTACATGTACATGTTATCTAAAGAGCATATAGTGTTCAGTTATAACTGATTTCTGGCGATCCAAATCCAAATCCAATGATATATTTTTCAAAAAGAAGGACCAGGAGAAATGGAACTTTTGTATATTTTATTTAACAACCACAAATCGTTTATTTCCTTTATATGAGATATCAACTATTATGTACAGCCTCTTTAAGGACAATGATAAAGTGTGCAAGCTTTCACAATATTTACCCGTATTTAAATAATAACTCCCTCAATGGAAGCTGACCTCGGCAATGTCTGACAGTCCATTTTAGGCACAGGTGGGTATTTCCCTCATATTCTCCCAATGTCGATTACCTGTACCTTTGATGCGATCGTTCAGCCTTCGCATTTATCTGCGTTGCCCAGCTACATCTTTGGGAACAACTCACTGGACACTCCCCTCACTAAAATAATGTCCTTCAATATACAACATCATCAAGTTGCTAGCACATGTTTGAATATCCCGAAATGATGTCATGATAGAACAATGTTTCATCATGAAATAAACCACACTTTGTTCTTCGTTGTTTTATACGATTAATCCCATAGCTATCTTATATATGGGTATACACAAAGTTGGCGGAGGATATAGAAATGGGCTCCGTCCGTCACGTTTCGTTTCCGGGGCATAACTCATAAACCATTCAATATTTTTTCATGAAACTTTGCAGGTCTGTCGAGTACATGCTGAGCTGGTGCCTTTTGCTATTTAGAAATTGTAGATATTTTTATTTTTTACGTTTCCATGGCAACAAGATGGACTTTGGTTCTGTGAGGGTAGGGTTAGTTTCCGGAGCATAACTCATAAACCGTTCCATATTTTTTCATGAAACTTTGCAGGTCTGTCAGGTACATGCTGAACTGGTGCCTTTTGCTATAAAGAAATTTTAGATATTTTTATTTTTTACGTTTCCATGGCAACAAGATGGACTTTGGTTCCAAACTCTCTTTTTTTTTACAATTTCCATGACAAGTTCCACCTTGGTTAAAAAAGGTTAGGGTTTGTTTAGGTTAAATTTTGTCATAAATTCTGCAAAAGGGGCGGGGGATATAGCCACGTTAGTGGCAAACTCTTGTTACTTTTATGATGTCCGAAATAGATAGAAGAAATAACTTAAACTATGTTAATCTGGATAATTCTGAGAAAATTATAGTGTGAATTGAAAACTTTTGTGCGGAGAGACAAAACCAAAAATTGTTTGCTGTTGTCATTAGCACACACAGGAAAGATGTAGTTTCCCAGCCTGGTGCATGTGCAAGAGGTTTAGGAAGGGAGGTACTATTAGTGGCACATCTAATTATAGATAGTTTTCCGTGAAGGTCTTTTGTTGAAATATCTAAAGATGTGTTAGTGTGATGACAGCCAAAAGACTGGATTTAGGCAATATGTAACATGTTGTAATTGAGATTTTTGTTCTCATGTTTCCATCATTGTGAAATTTGATATGCATTGTGTATGTAGTAAGTTGTGTACTTGTATTGCACTGGACTCCATACACGAGGTCTATGCTGTAAGCACCAACATGATTACCCCAGTCGATGGGTCTCTTGAGTATTCAAGCTGCCTTGTCAGGCACTAGAAGGTTAACAGTCACAATACCATCTCACCCTGCCTGGAACCCATTTTTACTGCTGGGTGAAGAGAGGCATATTTTGAACAAAGTCACCTGTCTAAGAAGCCACCACATCTGCGACATGTGCTTCAGTGTTGGGCAGGACCAAAGCCCTTGAAACTCTCAGGGGTCACACTGTTACAGACCCATCCAACTATTCCCCTCGACCTACGTTGCTCAATTTCACCTGGTTTGTGACCTCTGCACAGTGCACAGGATCACGTACCCTAATTACTTTGTATGTGGTATGCAAGACAAGTTAGTTTGGGCTGTGTATGAAGATGCCTTTCACATGAACCCCATCATTTGACTGTTGATTTTTCATCTCTACCCCGTTGTGAGTTGGGTTTTACGCTGCTGTTAACACTATTCCCCCATTTACATGACAAAGGGCTGATCCAGCATTTTTAAAATGGGAGGGGTCCAAAATATCAAAATCTCTGTCAACTTTTCATACTACATTTGGTTTTCAAAAGGGGGGGTTGGGGGGTCTGTTTTCTCCCCATCTGAGGGTGAAAATTGAGTGAACACTGATCCATTGACCGGGGCAATAATAATGTAGCAATAAAAGCATAACCATGTTTGGTTAGTCTGTCTTACAGACCCTGATACAAATATATATCAAATACAGCCCTCTGCATGGAGAGTCACGGGGCTCCCTTTTATTATATTTTTCTGTACGATATGTTCATTTCAGAGACTAGATGTTAGTCTAATGTTTGGTGTGCAATTATAAACCTACAGCCACTTTTGCCTATAGCATTATAAATATGTTATCTCATAGTAACCTTGTGAGACCTGCTCAGGGGTTTTACTTTTGAATTGTAAGACCTGCTTTGACGTTTTACATTTGAATTGCATACACAGCCTTTTTAATGTGCATCTAATGTTGATCTTTGACTTGTTCCAATTCCCTGAAGTGAATCGAACCTGCAGCCTCACGAATTATGTTTAGTATTCTAAAACAGTTTTGCCATTGAACCACAAAGGCAGGTGATGAAAAGGTGTTTAATTTCACGTCAGGACTTCAGTTGTCTGCATGCTGCATGTGATCTTTCTCTCGCCTGCAGTCATTAAATTTGTTTTTTTACCACAACTGCTGTATTGGTTCACAATAAGGGATCTTGATGTTTTCTTATTCTTTGCATTAAAAAGTTCATATGTCAGTTAATATATTCGTCCAAGGTTTAGCTAAAACATATTTGTGCAGTATAAATGACCTTGTTTTTATACTGAGAGTGCTATTTCTTTCTTGATCTGCAGGTCGAACCCATCAACTGCGTGTGCACTGCTGTCATATTGGTCACCGTATCATCGGCGACTACATGTACAGTGACCGCACTGATACCCAGCCACCTCGCATGATGCTGCATTCTTATAGAATACATGTTCCGTTGAAGCCACAGCCTCTGGACATCACTGCTCCAGACTACTTCGTGTCAGAAACAAACCCATCGTGGCAGGCTACCCATGTGTACACCACATACCAGGAGTTTTGTGACTCTTTCTACACTCAGGGACCAGACAATATTGCTCTCAATTTAACCGACTTAAGTCTAAAGACTGACAGTTGAAGAAGTTAAAGGAGTAATGTGAACAGATAACTTTGTGCCTTAGATGTATTCCTAGGATCCACAAAGACATGCAACTCCAATGTGTTGAGAATTGAGAGAATAAAGACAGTATCACTGTAGAATGTGTTGGATGAGCAGATACTCAACTCCAAAAGAAATGCAAAGATGTTCGATGGGCGATATCTTCAAACAGAAGTGAAAAATAAAATACAGTAACTGCATTTTTAATTAGACAATGTTCCATTTTATTTCACATAATTCTCCAACCCGCAACTTGCGATAAATGCATAAACATGGAACATTCCTTTTTACCAGAAGGTTTTTGTCGATTCATCAGGGATCCAACAATAGCTGTTGGTTTTGTAGTTACATAGGACATGGTGTTATTTATTTTTTTGTAGTTTGATATAACCATAACACCATGTCCTAGCTAACTCGAGGAAAACCGGACGAGGGCAGTCGGTCTTGCTGAAGCTGGATGGAGCATGTCACGAGTTGCCAGACACCTTGATGTCCATCATCCACAACTTACAGGCTTCAGGAATATCATCAGTTAAGTGGCTGACCGCGTGTGACATCAGATAGACAAGATCGGAACATCACATCCCACATGCAACAACTGCTCGAATGACCTACCTGTCACTGAAGGTGATTCAAAACGACATTTAAACATCAACGTGACCTACATGAAGTTCATGTAATGCTAAGTGAAATTAAATATGTTGCTATAACCCTACCACTTTTGATTTATTTCTGTTGAAAACTCATTTTTGTAGCATGATACTTTCACCACTTTAAATTCCCGTTTCTTTTAGAGTTGAGTGTATTATGGCTATCGGACATTTATACAAAGTATGAATAATTTTTTAATGTGAATTTACACAATATATGTCTTTTTCCATTGGATGAGCGGTTGGTCACATGACCACGAAATTGACAGTCATAAGTCTATGAAAGACACAATTTGACATTCATACATTTTTCACAAGACTGCATTCTTGAAACGTAAACACCGACGGACTACTTCGACATTCCTGGGAGTTCCCTAGCACAGATATATACAGAAGTACTGGCTGAGTTCATTGGCCCTCATACTATCAAGGTTCATACTCCAATGAACTCAAAGTGACAGTTTTAGTCTGAAGGCATAGTTCCACATTCAAAACTGCTGGGTTGTTCTAGCGAGCCGTCACTATATGGCTGAAATAATGCCGATGCAACATTACATTCTCATTGTAATTCACTCAAGAAAGCCCTCGATATTTTTAATCAAATCCACAGAGCATCACAATCTCATTAAAATCAGACATTAGTTCTCACTACCACTAAACAAAGATCTGAGGACATCCCATTACGGGTCACGTCAGAACAATCAGAAGGTAACTTTCTCATGCTTTACAGCACTAATTTCAAATTGGCGACTACGCTTCGAAACATATTTGGACAAATTCTCGATTACAAATTTGAAACAAAAGAATGGAATGGCTAATAGATGGTCTAGATTGAATGGATTCAGTCGTTAAACCTGTAACTATCATTAGGAATACCCCCGTGTTATATTTTTCGAGGTTGTAAGATTAGAAATCACATTCCGACTGTCACTTTAATTTCATGATCTGGTAAGTGGCGCTCTCATTGGTCGGATGAAAGGTCGTTCTGACGTGACCCCTAATGGGATGTCTTCAGATCTTTGTTTAGCGGTAGCGAGAACTAAGGTCTGATTTTGATGAGACTGCAGAGCATCAATGAACTGTTTGCTGGAAAAAGATTCCTAGTTGTACAGGAGACAGTATGCACTAGTTTCAGTCCTTGAAAGAATTTGTAATTTGATTGAACAACTATATGTGTTCTTCGAACCAAATTCAAAATGAAGCAATAGCAGCAGAAGAGTCCAGTATATGTATGAGAAGGGAGATATGACATACTTTGGCTTTCCTCCAACACTAATGAGTTCAGAGAGGTGGTGAAGGGGTACATGCCACCCTTTTCTTAAGCATACTGAACATGATGTATTAAAAAGAAACTAAATCATTTGTGATAGCCAAAAAAGCTAACACTAACTGTTGCCTAAATTAAGTGCACTCCTTCCGAAGAGCTGCATGTGTGCTTGATTAAGGTTATGCACTGGGATGTAACTAATTCTGTTCAGTGTGACATTCAACACAGGTGTGCAATTGACAACAAAAGGTCAACTTTTGGTCGATTTATTTTGTCATACCCAGGATTGTTTTCTGAAACTGAATGAAATCATCATTTAATAAACAAAATGGCGTAAGTATGTCAATGAAATAAATAAAACAAAGGCATGAAAATCTTTCAAAGATACAGACAACTCAAACAACAAAATATGCTCTTATGTGGTTCTTACTACATAAGCAAACTAAGAACACATGACAGTTGGAAATTTACATTGAAACACCCAAATTTTGCTAATCCTGTAGCAATACAAGCAGGATGGACCTAAGGGTAACTTGATGTAATGAGAACCACATATGCAGGTAGCTTCAGGCACATGTGCCCCTGCTGGACAATGACAACCAAGGACAGCAGTCCAAAACAAAACTATAATGTACAGAACCTGAAAGTCACCTACAACACAGAACCTACAGACAACCACTAGTTGTGACATATTTAGATGCAGAATATCTGCAGATGCTTGGACCGGATGCAGGACATTTTGACATTGTAATTTTGTATAATGTTGGTTGATAATTCTGCCATTTGTTCTCGGACTAATACTCATACAATACTATTGTGTATTATCAATATCTGTTCATTCAAGATTGTGTCCATTATAACTTGAAAACTGCCCGCCCTCGGCCAAGTCACTTTGTGACTGCTGGCGATACTTGATCTTGGTGTCTGAGGCATATTCCACATAGCATCATCAGTGTTCATGATAGCTATACACATGGAGAAGGATAACATCATTTATGTTCCTCAAAAACAGCCTAGGTGGATTACTTGGGACTGTCTGCAGCTGTAATCAACATGATTAACTGCATATCATATCACTAGAAAAAACAAAACAGATTCAAGAAAAACAGCCTTGATCAAGGTTACATATATATATCCAGATTCAAGCATGGCAGTTCAAGTCCTTGCTGGCAACATCCTCCTTCTAACAGTTGTACTTCATCTGATGAAATAAATTCTTAATTCAGTTTTGAACAAATGGTCCTCAAAAGTGGCAAGAATAGTTCCTGCTCAGTCCGACTAGCGACAGTCTCCTCCAGTATACCAACCATATATACAATGGGCCTCAAACCATCAATACTGTGACAGAGGTTCCACTTACAACCTACCAGTTTGGTCAACCCACTAGGCTGAACTAGTGGCATATTGGCTTGAACAGGATCAAAAGAAAATAACTTGGTTGACATGACATTCATAAAACCTCACTGTTCAAAAAGGACCTGACATGGAAAGCAAGCTCTTTTCATGGTCACAAAGTGAATTTGAAAATCATCCACATTAGTTTTGATACTCGATGGTTTGATTACATTTAGAACTACATGTGATAATTATCAATTTGGCATGTTTGATTGTTTCTGGCAAAGTGACTTTCCAACATACAGCAAGCTCATGTCTCAATGACAAGCTCAATTCACAGTCACTGTTATGGCAGTAGTCAGGTCAAGAAAGGTGAACTAATAGTGCACTTTTTTTTTTTACATAATACAAGTGAATTTCTACCATTGTTGCAGCTTGTGTGTCCACTCCTACCAAAACCCAGCAATCTATCTCCATAGTCTTCAATCAAGGGCTACCTTCCCCTGTCCTCAGTTTCCTTGCCTTGATAACATCTGCAGGAATCTTGCGTCGGTCATAAGCTTGTCCTAGATACGCCATGGTGTCAATAAAGAAAGTGGTTAAGTTGATTTTCCACCCAAATTCACTGGTTGCATAGTCCTGAGGAAAGGTATGGTGGTAGTTGTGGAATCCCTCCCCTACAGCACTCAGTGCCACCATCATGTTCTCTGCCGGGTTGATGCGCTTGTCGTAGGGCCTCATGCCCCACATGTGTGCAGCACTGTTCACTAGCCAGGTTGCATTCAGTCCCAGGCAGTAACGCAAGATGGCAGCAAGGTAGAAGGATACAAACAGACTCTCCCCCCAGAAACACCACGGTACCATGCTTGGCACAATGAAACAGAATAGCAGCACAGATGGAACATATAATCTGAAAAAGGAAACAGATGCAAATTAAGGTTGAGTTATGATGGACAAAGAGGCTACATTATGGGCATGCTTCTGATATACTCCTGTATATATCTATCCTTGATACACGCCTGTATATATGTATCATTGATATACTCCTGTATACATGTATCTATCCTTGATATATTCCTGTACATATTTATCTAAAATACTCCTGTATACATCTATCCTTGATACACTCCTGGATATATCTCTCATTCATATACTCCTGTATACATCTATCATTGACATACTCCTGTATACATCTATCATTGATATACTCCTGTATACATCTATCATTGATATACTCCTGTATACATCTATCATTGATATACTCCTGTATACATCTATCATTGATATACTCCTGTATACATCTATCATTGATATACTCCTGTATACATCTATCATTGATATACCCCTGTATACATCTATCATTGATATACCCCTGTATACATCTATCATTGATATACTCCTGGATATATCTATCATTCATATACTCCTGTATACATCTATCATTGATATACTCCTGTATACATCTATCATTGATATACTCCTGTATACATCTATCATTGATATACTCCTGTATACATCTATCATTGATATACTCCTGTATACATCTATCATTGATATACTCCTGTATACATCTATCATTGATATACTCCTGGATATATCTATCATTCATATACTCCTGTATACATCTATCATTGATATATTCCTGGATACATCTATCATTGATATACTCCTGTATACATCTATCATTGATATACTCCTGTATACATCTATCATTGATATACCCCTGTATACATCTATCATTGGTATACTCCTGTATATATCTATCATTCATATACTCTTGCATATATCTATCATTGATATACTCCTGTATATATCCTTGATATACTCCTGTATATATCTATCATTGATATACTCCTGTACATATCTATCCTTGATATACTCCTGAAAATATCTATCCTTGATATACTCCTGAAAATATCTATCCTTGATATAATCCTGAAAATATCTATCCTTGATATAATCCTGAAAATATCTATCCTTGATATACTCCTGTACATATCTATCCTTGATATACTCCTGTACATATCTGTCAGATATACTCCTGTACATATCTGTTCGATATACTGCTGTACATATCTGCCCGATATACTCCTGTACACATCTAACCTTGATATACTCCTGTACATATCTGTCTGATATACTTCTGTACATATCTGATATACTCCTGTACACATCTAACCTTGATATACTCCTGTACACATCTAACCTTGATATACTCCTGTACACATGTCTGATATACTCCTGTACATATCTCTGATATACTCCTGTACATGTCTGATATACTCCTGTACACATCTAACCTTGATATACTCCTGTACATATCTGTCTGATATACTCCTGTACATATCTAACCTTGATATACTCCTGTACATATCTGTCTGATAAACTCCTGTGCATATCTGTCTGATATACTTCTGTACATATCTCTGATATACTTCTGTACCAGAGTGAGTGAGTGAGTATGGTTTAACGCCGCTTTTAGCAATATTCCAGCAATATCACGGCGGGGGACACCAGAAATGGGCTTCACACATTGTACCCATGACGGGAATCGAACCCGGGTCTTCGGCGTGACGAGCCAACGCTTTAACCACTAGGCTACCCTACCGCCCCACTTCTGTACCAGAGCTCCAGATAAGCTGCATATCTGCGTGAAATACACATCAGAAATGCATTTATACTTCTGTACATATCTCTGATATACTTCTGTACCAGAGCTCCAGATAAGCTGCGTATCTGCGTGAAATACACATCAGAAATGCAGAAACACACAGTAAAATATAATCTAAGCGTATCAAATACGCAACGAACATTACAGATACGCTACAAAAATCAAACTTGTGCGTATCATCAAAATATTATGAAGTAACCCTGCGTATTTGATTAGCAAATCAGCAACTTATTTTGAAATTATAACGGGCATTCCATCAACCATGCCAAACTCCACGATGACAGTTACATCATGATCATTTGCCATCACACTTTCTTGTGGAAGTATCGTGGTATTTTTTAGTCCTATAAAGCTCTCGAACCAACACGACACCAGTTTGTAGGGACTAGATGAATAGTGTTCTTAAATATTTAACTTAAATACCCACATGTGTAAAAACTAGTGGGTAACAGAAATTTGAATACGCAAATAGAATTACTAATACCCAATGATTTTAAAATGCATGGGTAAAATACCCACAACACCAAAAGCTTATCTGGAGCTCTGTGTACATATCTCTCTGATATACACCTGTATCTAGTCATTTTAGTTCGTCATCCACTTGCAGCAAACATTCTCAGATGCCTGGATGTTCTTATTTGGGAGGAGGTTGTGTTCCCTGCTTATGTTAATGCAAGTTAATTACAAGTAACAAAAACAAATGCAGTTACTTTTCCTGGACTCTGACAACAGGATCAGCTTTAAGGTCGGCCATCTCCAGCTGTTTTCCCTTGGCTATGACATCAGGGTGTTTTTTCACCAACAACCATCCCATGTGGGAAAAGAAGAACCCTCGCTTAGCATTATGGGGGTCTGCATCTGTCTCCGAATACTTGTGATGACACCGGTGGTCACGACTCCACTCAAATATAGAGTTCTGGAAAATAAACAAACCCAATGCATCTCCCTTTTTTATTTTTGAAGGATATAAAGGAGGATGTGAAAGTTAAATGTGGTGGGGGGATTGATGTGATGGTTATATGTGGTTGGGGAGATTGATGTGATGGTTCTATGTGGATGGGGAGATTGATGTGATGGTTCCATGTGGTGGGGGAGATTGATGTGATGGTTCTATGTGGTGGGGGGATTGATGTGATGGTTCTATGTGGTGGGGGAGATTGATGTGATGGTTCTATGTGGTGGGGAGATTGATGTGATGGTTCTATGTGGTGGGGGAGATTGATGTGATGGTTCTATGTGTTGGGGAGATTGATGTAATGGTTCTATGGGGTGGGGGACATTGATATGATGGTTCTATGTGGTGGGGGGATTTATATAATGGTTCTATGTGTTGGGGAGATTGATGTAATGGTTCTATGGGGTGGGGGACATTGATATGATGGTTCTATGTTGTGGGGGGATTTATATAATGGTTCTATGTGGTGGGAAGATTGATGTGATGGTTCTATGTGGTGGGGGAGATTGATGTGATGGTTCTATGTGGTGGGGGAGATTGATGTGATGGTTCTATGTGGTGGGGAGAATGATGTGATGGTTCTATGTGGTGGGGGAGATTGATGTGATGGTTCTATGTGGTCGGGGAGATTGATGTGATGGTTCTGTGTGGTCGGGGAGATTGATGTGATGGTTCTATGTGGTGGGGGAGATTGATGTGATGGTTCTATGTGGTGGGGGAGATTGATGTGATGGTTCTATGTGGTGGGGAGAATGATGTGATGGTTCTATGTGGTGGGGAGAATGATGTGATGGTTCTATGTGGTCGGGGAGATTGATGTGATGGTTCTATGTGGTGGGGAGAATGATGTGATGGTTCTATGTGGTGGGAAGATTGATGTGATGGTTCTATGGGGTGGGGGAGATTGATGTGATGGTTCTATGTGGTGGGGGAGAATGATGTGATGGTTCTATGTGGTCGGGGAGATTGATGTGATGGTTCTATGGGGTGGAGAGATTGATGTGGTGGGGAGAATGATGTGATGGTTCTATGTGGTGGGAAGATTGATGTGATGGTTCTATGTGGTGGGGGAGATTGATGTGATGGTTCTATGGGGTGGGGAGAATGATGTAATGGTTCTATGTGGTGGGGGAGATTGATGTGATGGTTCCATGTGGTGGGAAGATTGATGTGATGGTTCTATGTGGTGGGGGAGATTGATGTGATGGTTCTATGTGGTTGGGGAGATTGATGTGATGGTTCTATGTGGTTGGGGAGATTGATGTGATGGTTCTATGTGGTTGGGGAGATTGATGTGATGGTTCTATGTGGTGGGGGGGATTGATGTGATCGTTCTATGTGGTGGGGGAGATTGATGTGATGGTTCTATGTGGTGGGGAGAATGATGTGATGGTTCTATGGGGTGGGGGAGATTGATGTGTTGTTTCTTTGTGGTGGGGGAGATTGATGTGATGGTTCTATGGGATGGGGGAGAATGATGTAATGGTTCTATGGGGTGGGGGAGAATGATGTGATGGTTCTATGGGGTGGGGGAAAAAGATGTGATGGTTCTATGGGGTGGGGAGAATGATGTGATGGTTCTATGGGGTGGAGAGATTGATGTGATGGTTCTATGGGTGGGGGACATTGATGTGATGGTTCTATGTGGTGGGGAGAATGATGTGATGGTTCTATGTGGTCGGGGAGATTGATGTGATGGTTCTATGTGGTGGAGAGATTGATGTGATGGTTCTATGTGGTGGGGAGAATGATGTGATGGTTCTATGTGGTGGGGGGGATTGATGTGATGGTTCTATGGGGTGGAGAGATTGATGTGATGGTTCTATGTGGTGGGGAGAATGATGTGATGGTTCTATGTGGTGGGGGGATTTATATAATGGTTCTATGTGGTGGGAAGATTGATGTGATGGTTCTATGTGGTCGGGGAGATTGATGTGATGGTTCTATGTGGTGGGGGAGATTGATGTGATGGTTCTATGTGGTCGGGGAGATTGATGTGATGGTTCTATGTGGTGGGGGAGAATGATGTGATGGTTCTATGGGGTGGGGGAGAATGATGTGATGGTTCTATGGGGTGGGGGAAAATGATGTGATGGTTCTATGGGGTGGGGAGAATGATGTGATGGTTCTATGGGGTGGAGAGAATGATGTGATGGTTCTATGGGGTGGGGAGAATGATGTGATGGTTCTAACTAGGCTATAACTACTATTCCATCTACCATTAGAGGCAAGTAGCAATGAATATTTCACTATTCCCCGACAGGCTGTAAGTAATAGGAACTATATTTTCAACTTGACTTTAATTTGTGTCCCAAATGAGTTACTTACTTGAAAGGCAGTAGAATCCATGATAGCTAGCAGGATACGCACTGGCATTCTGGCCTTGTAGGAACGGTGTGCCCATAAACGATGTGCCCCTGCTGTGATGCCCAGGGCCGCAAATACGTACATGAAAGCACCTGTATCAGATATGATCATTTCATCAGGACTGTCAATCCTGTCTAACCAGAAGCATATGTACCGAAGCCTATGTCCATATGTCCAGTAGCCTATATCAAAGCCTAGATTCTGCCTGTGCCTTTTCAAGTCTACTTTGTTGGCTCAATTGTGGCGCCACCCCATTTACAAAACGAGTTGTGTCAGATTGCTGTTCTTATTTTGAATGGCTCCACAAAGATGAGTTCAATAGACGACCTGGTCCATCAGGTAACGAAAAGATTGGAGACATGTGCGATAGTCCCCTCATTATTTTAGCACAGAAAAGTATGTATGAAATGGCAAGGGTGGAAACTAGATTTTTTATATAATTTAGTTGACACGCTTGCCTCGGGAGCATGCTGAGGATGACATTGTTCTGGTTCCTCCCACAGCAAACTGATGGGGATACCACAGTTGATAATTCAACTACCTAAGGAACTACTACATGCTAATAATGATCATTGATAAACTTTTAAATAACATAGCTGAGGACAAGGGTGTCGTTAGTACACACTTTTTGGCACCATAGATATTTAATGTTAGCATCCTGCTTTATAATCCACACTGTTCTACAGCATCATGCATCCTTGGTAAAACAGCAAGGGAGCTGATAAACCATCTGATGGCAGTGTGACAGCCTACTGTAGAGGACAGTGTGCTGCTGCATGTACTTACTCCACAGCAAGGTGTAGAGGTGGGCCTGGGGGATGAGTACCAGCGAGTACACTGCAGCCAGGTGCAGCATGGCAAACAGCACTACATTCTTCCATACTATCTTCATAGGGGGACGTTTCTGAGCATGTGTTTCTGCTGTGATGACTGGCTCCACTTCAGAGGATCCAGTTAACATGTCCTCCGATGGAGTGGTTTCCATTATTACATTCTTGGGAGCCATATTGATGTTTTCCCGATGCTGCTACAACAGAAAATATGAGTGACTTGAGTGGGGTAAAAGTAATCAAGTGTGAACCAGCCAATTCAATGTTTTATCTTATGAGCAACATTTCATGTCAGGAACAATGTCACACAATCAACCAAGTCACTATTTGAGTTACAGGAGTAAAAAAACATACCATCAGAAATTAAAACTTTCTTGCGTAGATTACAGAAACACAGCTAAAATATCTAAAGGTAGTTAACTTTCTAAAGAGCAACTGATCAAAAGTATGGTATATACAAAAAAATTCTCTGACCCCACTACAAACTCATTAAGGAGATGAAAGTCTTCTGAGAAGTTCATCCCCATACATATCACAGTTTGCATTATCACAATAAACAGCATTACTACAAAGGTTTAACCTCACTGTGCCCTCAGCCTGTATTAAGGGCTACAGCTCACTGCATTTGTATGTCTGTATTTAAAGTGGGAATGTTCTGGTGAACTGTTCTCTCAGAGTGGACACTGTTTAATTAATGTCTGATAATATGGGTACCTGATAACTGAACACTTAACATGAATTTCATTGTATAAATTCATATTTTTATAAGTAATCCTTTGCGAGTGATAGGTACCAGTGTTGCCATGTATATAAATTGCCTGAACTGGTAACACTGGTCACACTGGTCGTTGCAAAATGGCAAATGTTCATGTAAATATTTGTTGCCGACTCCAAAGATGGACAGAATTTAGTTCATAATGGTCACAGATTTAGAAATAAGAACAGAAGCAACACCACTGTACAATGGCGTTGCTGTAGAAAGAACTGCCCGTCCACAGTGAACACTTCCATCAGCTTCATCACAACGTATCGTGATATTCACAACTCTCCTGGAGATGATGTTGTCATTCAGGAATTCTGATCTACCTGAAAACTAAAATTCGCAGTGAGAGCAAGCCTATTCCAGCAATCTATCAAGAGGAACTGATGGGTTAGTGTATGGAACTACTTGACACCATCGGTTCCAGGTCCCAACCATCCAAACATCTTCAAATTCGAGGACATTATCAAGGAGGAGCAGTCTCATGCCACAACTGTTCTGCTCCAGGTCCAGTCTGGTGGCAGACTGGCACCAAAGAGAAGAAAGTACTGCAACCATGACTAAAAAATTTGAAGTGAAAGAAAAAATGACTATGCTGATGCCATTTAGGTGGCCTGTACATGTGTATGTCTTTGTATGTGAATGAATTAACACAACAAGTGGAATATGTATGTATAATATTCTCATACTTTAAAAAATTATGTATAAATAAATTTATGAAAATTGGAAAATGCTACTCAAATCTGTGTCGGGCATCCATAAAACATCCTTCCATGATTGTTTTAATAGCACAGTAACCATGTAATGCCATGGTAGAGGCTAACGCCCCGATCTTATGGGGATTATTCCCTTTTGGCAGATCAAGTTTGACGATCTCATTAGCCCGAAGGATGACTGCGCGTAACCATAGAGATATGGTGTTGTGACTAACTTCGGTCGTGGATGCAGGAGATACGGGTATGAATAACCGTTTCCTTGAACTACACCTAGTTTTGGTGCAGCGGATGAAAGCTCGTAGTAGGCACACCAGGCACAAGAGGAGTTCACCCTCATCTTCAACCCCCACAATCGTAGAAATTGGTGGGATAGTGAAAGAACGATCAGGTTGGCCTGGTAGATGATTTTTTGCTATAAAATCCCACCATAACCCGAGATGTACTGCTCCATGCATACAATGCTCAAAACAGATGTGATGGCGATTACATGTAACTTGCTCATCCGTGCCGCAGGGGCTAATGCCAAGAGAAATATTGTTTTCTTGGTGAGGTTATAAAAAGAGTATGCGTAGAGGGGCACAAAGGGGGGCTCTCTTGCAAACCTGGAGATACCACATTCAAGTATCAAGCAGTGGTATGGAATTTGGCCTTCTGATCCTCAAGCCTCAATGAGTAATAGGGCCTGCAATTCTGGGGCCTTGGTCATTTTGCGATTCTCTCGAATGTCCAACGCTGAGTTAAGGGCTACCAAATACGTAGTTATGGCGCTACCTTTCAAGTGTTTTGGTGGTAACGCTGTTATAGGGTCTTGATTTTTTGCTTTGCAAAAAGTTTCAAAAGATCTCCACTTGGTAGAAGGACGATGAGCTAAGGCGATAGCTTTAGCTGCCCATGCCGAAAAACCTTTGGCACTTAATGCCTTTTCAAGACGAACCAAGAGTGCAGACAAAATCTGTCTGGCATTGGGTGAAGCAATTTGCTGTGAGGGTGGATGAGTAGGGTTGACAAATGTGGGAGGGGTAGTGGATTGTCTTCTGCTAGATTTCTGGGCCCAAAGAACCACCCTCTCACTAGCCACCAGGGCATGACCAAAGTCAGAGCAAGATTCCTTGTCTCTTTGATCTTTTTTATCATCCAAAACTGGCTCCCACAGGAGATATGGCTTGGATTAGATCAAGCGATATCTACACTGTAGATATCGCTGCAATGAAATTACATCACAATGCTTTGCAGACCATTGTGACGTCACTGATTACCATGACGTCACAATCAAATGACATCACTAATGGCTCTGCCACTGAAGCCATTAGCAGTACTTTTTACACTGAAGACACTGCTAATTAGTCTACAAATTAAAAAACTTGGAAGAATGATGTTGGATGATAAATAAATCTCACCCGAGTGTCTTTTGATATCAAATATATCAACACTCGTTGATAAAAGTGGCAAAAATCCTCGGCAAGCCTCGGAATTTTTCCACCTTTATCAACTCGTGTTGATATATTTGATATCAAAAGACACTCGGGTGAGATTCTCTATGCATACGCTTTTAGCCCTTCCCAAGAAATGCTGAATGCATCCACTGCCCAAGCCTGCGGATCCGGTAACGGGGAGACATACGGTACGTCATAATTTGGTGGTTTGGGCAAGTTGCAAACAGGTCGATGTTTGGTTGCCTCTGATGCAGGAATTGAAATGCCTCTGTGTGAAGTTTCCACTCGGTCGGAGCCACCCTGTCTGGTCGGGATAAGGCATCAGCCAATATGTTCCGACATCCGGGGATGTGCTGAACTATGAATTGTAGTTAAAGCCGATCCACTTGATGGAAGAACCTGAATGTATGTTGAAGCAGGGAGTGGGAGTGCGTTGTCCCCTGATTGCGCAGGCACCACACCACAGTGCTGTTGTCTGCTGATATTGTGAGTTGGGCAGACTGTAGACTTTGTGAGATGGCCAGAATTAACGCTACCAACTCCAAGTTGTTTATGTGCCACTTTTGATGAGGCTATCTGTAAGCGAGCACCCCACCCCTGCAGGGAGGCATCTACAAACAGATGTAGTTTCGGGGTTAACCCGGATGAGGAGACTCCTCTAAGACATTCAACTATCGTCCACCAATTGAGGTATGGCATTAGATGGGACTGGTAGAGTGATGGCTTTGAGTGGATCCTGTTGCCTGATGTAAGGATTCAGGAATTGTTGAACTGGACGCAGTTGTAAGTGGCCTCTGCAACCCTAGCAACAATTGCAATTGGTGAAGTGTGCGTGATTGGCACAGAAGGGAGACAGGTGGCATTAAAGTTTTAGCCATCTTTCCCTCAGTACTGATAGGAGGTCCTGGTCTGTCTAGAAACGCAGTTATTGGCATCATTATTCGTGTAAATAGTCACGGGGCCACTGAAATGCTAAATGGGAGAGCTGCCCATTGGTAGTGTTCCCCATTGAACTGGAATCTGAGGAATCTGCAGTCAGTCGGAGGGATGGATAGGGATATGCAAACAAGTGTATAGTCGACAAAGTCATCTATATCCCCCGCCCATTTTAACACGTTATGGTCCCAAACCAGGTAACTGACCCAACATTTCTCTTAGCCCATGTCAAAATAGCTGTAAAGGAAATTCTAAAATATACATGTCTAAAACTCCTTAATATCAAATGGCACCAGTTCAGTATGTGCTTTATATATAGACATGCAATGTTTGGCAAGGAAATATTTAACAGTTTATTTGTTATACTCCATAAGTGAACCCACCCTATAATAGAACCTAAGTCCAACTTGTTGTCATGGAAACAAACAATAAAATTTCTAAAAGTGCTAAATATCAAAAGGCACCAGTTCAGTATGTATCTGGTAAACATGCAAAGTTTTGTAAGAAAATATTTAACGGTTTTTGAGTTACGCTCCGGAAACGAACAGCACCCTCATAGAACCTAAGTCCAACTTGTTGCCATGGAAACGTAAAAAATAAAAATTTATAAAATTCCTAAATAGCAAAAGGCACCAGTTCAGCATGAGTCTGATAGACATGCAAAGTTTCGTAGAGAAATATTTAACGGTTTCTGAGTTATGCTCCGGAAACGATTTCGGGACGCACGCACACGCACGCACACGCACTGATGCTGGTTCTGAGCAGTCTCAACGTTGTGAGGGGGAAGTAAGGCGGATGCAACAGATAACGTTCGTTGAACACTGAGAGAAAATTCAGACTTTCACACTGAAGTATTAAATAAATTCAGTTACGCCAAGGTTTTACCTTGACCCAAAAAAATTGGCATCTCTGCGTCGCATAAAACCTTGAGTTATGCAAACTTATTCATTTTGTAATTTCAACCAACCCAAGGTAATTTGTTACTTTAGCATAAATATATCCAGTTGGCCTCACTGAACAGAACACCCCTGTCCATCTGACTGTGACCACCAACATGCACTGACACAAGGAAACAGGCAGTCAACTTGCTCATACATAAGAAACAGGGAAGCATGACGAATTAGTTATTAAATACCTATTCATATTCTGAAAATAACAAGTTCAGCTTGTGAGACGTTATTCCACAAAACTCAAAATTTGCCAATAAAAGAAATACCTGAAACCACAATCTGCCAAGTCCCATTATTCTTAAAATGTAAATGAGAATTATGTCTGCATAAGCTATCTGTATTTGCTTCCATAACAATGTAATAACTGACTTTAGGTTGAGTTTATTTCACTTCAACATCTGTATGTTTATGTAACACATAATGGCACTCCATGAATTAACCAATCACCACCTTTGTTTCAATGAGGCTCTATGACTAAATGCTAAATTAGGCCAATCCATTGTCAAGATTATCATGGTCCACAAATACTCACACCAACAGGCTGGCAATTACCCACACGAATTTTGGGTGCTTCCAACTTAATCATAGTCTGCTAATGAAATCTCCTGACATGTACATGATATAAGCTACTGTCCATGGCATGCTGAATAGCAGGTATATCCCGTCTATGTCCACACAGCCACTTCAAATTCAATACATCTCACCCGACAATATGCAGCAGTATTGCTGATGGCACAGCATGTGAGCTGCGTCATGTCTCGCTGTCCCCATTACAAGGTGGCCTATGTACAAAAGCCCCTTCAAAGATACTTAACAAAGAGCATTTCAATGCACTGCTGAAATGCTTGTGCTGTATTATAAACCTGTGCTGACATGAATTTACTTGGCATGATTGATAATACATTCCTTACCAGCAGTCAACACAGGAACATGATTCACCATGCTAACTTCACAACAGACTTCCTTACTGTCAAATTTGTAATATTTTTCCATAATGGTTTAATTGTAAATCATGTCATCAAACATGTAAAAAATGAAGTAACATTAAAACATCTCATTAACTTTGCTGCACCATTCCTCTGACACTTTTTACAACATTTTAAGCAGTGTTTCAATAGTAAAAGTTTTCAGTACAAAACACAATCATAACTATGACATCCTCAAGTGTATTTTCACAAACAAGTGTCTCAGACTTTCAAATTACTCCAGAATAATTTAAATCTCATTAAAACCTGATCTTACTCCTGAACAATTCCTCTCTGCATGATCTGCCCAACCCACTGAAGGAGACTGAATCAGGTAAACCCCTAGCAAACTTTGACTGTGCAACTTAAATAGGATGCATGAATTTTTTAATTAATCAGATGTCAGCACTCTCAAGCAATTCAGTTTCTTTCAGATTCTGTAATTGCACTTTTAACAAAAGAACAATGATACAAAACACAAAAATGACAGGGCGTATCAAATATCAAAAACACACACAGAGAAGCTTTAATATTTTCCATTTGGAACTTCTTGTTTATGTTTGTTTCAAGATACAGAAATCAGATATACTGCTCTTATTGTATCACTTGCTTGTATCCAGAATTACAAAGCATCAGCAATTTGGGTGATTGGAAAGTGCACCTGATGTGACATATAAAGGGCTTGTCAAATTATCACACAGATAAGGCATCATATCAGGGTAAATTGAGCACGTATGTTAGGACTCAGTCAGCGTGTTCAGTCAAAGACTTGTTAAATATTTGCCATATTATTGTTGAAATTGCTTTTTTTAAGAAATGTTTAGAAAACCACTGTGAAAGTATCCTAAGTTACCTCCCTTTCACTTCAACCAATCACAATACAACTAACAGTAGCGTTCTTCCCTATTGACCAATCACAATTCTTTTCACACTTTCACCCACATCTATATCTACACACTGCATTTACACAACAAAAAATTTAGTTCCTACAAAAGCATAGAGCCCTGTGTAAAGTTGTGGCCACCCTGATTTCTCCAAGTATTCATCATGCTCAATCTGTGACAATGTGTGCAGCAATAGGCAGACAGTTATATGAAAGCTGTTGGTAGTAAACATCAACAACTGATAATGTCAGCATTTATAGTAAATAATGTGGCTAAAAATATCTAACTAATGCAAAGTTTTGACATGATGAAATGGCAGTCAATCAAGATTCAATATACGACTAGCTACTGAAAACAATAAAATCTGCAAATCCTCATTGTATGTCAACCAAGTGAAAGTCGTTAGCCACGACTTACAAAATGATCGTCCAGACTTTGAGGGTTTGGCAGATCCGCTCGAATAATCTGCATCGGTCGACTGGCTGTCGTCACGCTTTCGCTTCTTGTCTGAAGTTACGTATCATAGCATTTTGAGGATAATGAGGTACATTACTTACTTACTTTGGAGATTTAACGTGCGCTTTCCGACTGATGCGTATTTCGCACACGGGCCCGGCCAGGCCATTTAATGTGTTTCCAAAAGGGGCGAACAAGGTACATCGACGATGCAAGGTATTTATGTACAGTTGTAAACACCTTTCACTCAAATTAACAAGATGTTCTCAGTAATTAGTCGTCGATTAATTAGTGTCAACTCAGTTTATTGCCTATTACAGTGATTGACCGCTTGGACTATCATGTAGGTACGATGTATTTACAGCAATCAAAACAAACAAAGCTTGTCAGTGTAGATAATCTTACAATCTTACAACTGCAGACAGAAACTGCTCAGTCCTAACTGTTGATCATGTCCGGTCAAAATTTAAGAATGTCCGGACAATACTTTTTAAAATGTCCGGACAGAAAAATTTAAATGTCCAGTAAGCAATATATTAACCCGGACATTTGAGATTCCCAATCGGACATGTCCGGCGCATATGACGGTTTCCCGACCCCTAATGTTGACATGTGCATCACATAATCAGGATAATACCCACAAATATCAATATTTAAAAAACCTGCGGAAAGAAAGCCATAAATGGTTTGAATGGGACAAGCAATATTTACAATCAAACAAAACAAGAAAACAGTTTTGTCACCATCCCCCGCCATGGGGCACATTAGAAATTTGTTTGTTCATACAGTTGTAAATATACACAGAAAAAGGGAAGGTAACTCCAGTTTGCTGCCATGGAAACAGCCAAAGTATGTTCAGGGAAATACAAAAACATCAAAAGGCACCAGTTCGGCATGTGTTTGACACATGTGCAAAGTTTCATAATGAATTTAAAGGTTTCCGAGTTATGTTCAGAAAAGGGACAGCAGCCATTTCTTTATCCCCCTCCCACCTCGTGGTGGGGGATGATAAGCAATACAGAGTTAGACACATAGAATTTTTAAACCCTGTTGCCTCTGCAAAACTATTAGAATTGAGTGTATGGTAAAGACTTCAATGGTTAAAAAGTAACACTAATCAGTATGAAATGAGTGCATGGATGGCAAACTCCCAGTCAAATTCTACAATTGCAGAAAATGAAACTTCACAGGTGTCCACACGTCACTATATTTTGCTGATGTTAGCAAATGATAAAGTGATGTCTAATAATGTAGCTCCTTCCTACTGTTTAGATGAAGGCAGTTGTAGGTGCAACAGCCAGCAGCTGGACCACATGTAAAGAAGGTAGTAATATTGTACTACATGTCTCATTACTAGTACAACTAAAACAGCTTGAGTCTTCATGAAGCAAACAATGACTGTCCCCAATTCACCAGTACTAGTTCAAAAGTTTAATGTAGGATACTAAACTTAATCTTTATGTGTTGAGACATATGCCTGGCAAATCCAAGTGTGTCATGGCAGTCCGAGTTACCTGCTTTTTGTCTAAATTTGCCCTGACAGTGAAAACTTTCTTGTGGTTAAAAGTAGGATCAAACTGTTTTATTAGTTTAGTTACAATATACAACATTGAGAAATCATTTCCTTGATTATGTCAGATGGACAGTTTGCAGGGCCATTAAACAGTAGGAATAAAGTTTTTATCTGACATCAAACTTTTGAACAGGTCCCTAAAAGGTCCAGAGATATATCTGCAAAAAGGTGACATGCAAGGGACAATCCTAATGTACTTGACACAGTTTTTCTTTCCTCGTGGGTCATGTGCAGAATAAACAACTGCAATTAGCTCACTGTCTCAGGCCACCGTCACTGATTACATGGTTGGAATACTGGTAGGTAATTCAGCATGTTCGGTTAAAATACAAAAGTCCAAAGATGAGCTGTATAATTTAGTCAACCGGTTTCACAAATGTGATTTTCAAGTGAACATTTATACCAATGTCACATTGCAATCCAACATTGTGACGTCACAATAAGACGCATAACATTGTGTGGGTCATGCGTATGACACAAATAGAAATTCAGAAATAAGTATGTAGTGGCAGGAAAATGTACAATAATCGTATGAAATACTTCAATTGTTTGAGGTCATTTAATTTTGGTATGGAAGTATTAATAAAATAACTTTCTTTTATCTTTCTCAGTGCATCATTTTCACATTTATAAAACAGGAATATCACAAAAGTTGGTGTTTTATTCGAGGCACATAGATCAGTGTGTTGACCGATCATGTTAGTTACAATATAAAACACTACCAGCATAGAATTATCCAGGATTCCAAGCGAGGTGCCTGTACCAGGCGAATCAAGAAAAGCATCTCTCCAAACATTCAATGCAAGAATTTAAAATCAACTATTAAATCCTTTCCTCTGCTTTTTTGTCCTGCTGTCAATGAAATATAAGTTGCCTTTGAAAATATATAACATTAGTCAGAATTAAAATACCACAAGCTGTAAATTCAATTTGGGAATTTGTAGAGACATTTGTTGCAGACAGTTAAATATAGGCTTCTGAGAATGCCAAGATAAAAAGTAAGTACCTACAGATCAGATCACCACCAACACATCCTGGCACAGCTAAAGGACAACACTACACAGCTTCACCAGCACATCCTGGCACAGCTAAGGGACAACACTACACAGCTTCACCAGCACACCCTGGCACAGATAAGGGACAACACTACACAGCTTCACCAGCACATCCTTGCATAGCTATAAAAGGGACAACACTACACAGCTTCACCAGCACATCCTGGCACAGATAAGGGACAACACTACACAGCTTCACCAGCACACCCTTGCATAGCTATAAAAGGGACAACACTACACAGCTTCACCAGCACATCCTGGCACAGATAAGGGACAACACTACACAGCTTCACCAGCACACCCTTGCATAGCTATAAAAGGGACAACACTACACAGCTTCACCAGCACATCCTGGCACAGATAAGGGACAACACTACACAGCTTCACCACCAGTGCACCATCACCAATGACAGCTGTGGCAACCTATTCTCCCTGGTTCATTTTCCGTACTTCAAATGTAAGTGAAGGTAATACAACACTACGTTCTACCTGCCCCAAAAATAGAGTAATCCTGAAACAGGGTCACTTTCCCTATTATATAAATTAGAAGAATAAAAAAAAATTTAAAAGAAACCAAAAATGAAGCACTATATTATATTATAGTTTGGGCTGGGACAAGTCCAAATTTACTACCTGGGTACCCAATCCCCTATTACCCAACCCTACCCATCGTAGGTCTCAAGAGATAGGTACAAAATGTCTGATTGGGAATATGTTGACTGTAGCCCTGGCAAAATGTATTTAGATACACATATTAAACAATCTGGTCATGCATACACTGAAGGTGTCTAAGTTTTATCTTTATTCAAACATGAAAAGTCAGAAAGAATGGGTGCATAGTCAGAAAGAAATGCAAACATTAGTGACTTGTGGTGTAACCATAGAGTTCTAGATAATTTTTGTCATTAAACAGTATATTCCGTGAGTTACCCGTCCTAGCCCTTATCCTAGTCAAATTATTATGCACCTACTAGAGCTGGGATGGGTAACTCAGGTCGGGTTGGTTCTGAGTAGGACCTGGGTATCCACAGGAGTACCAGGACCCATGGTTTATACCGTTTACCGTTATACCATGATATACCGTTTAATGACAAAAATTCACTATAACTCCATGGTTACACTACAAGTCACTAATCTTCCCATTTCTTTCTGACTGTGCATACATTCCTTCTAACTTTTATATCTTTGAATAGATAAAGATTCAGTCATCTTCAGTGTATGCATGACCAGATCGTTTTATATGTGTATCTAAATACTTTCTGCCAGTACTCCAGTCAAACAACTTGACATTTTGCACCCATCTCTCCAATGAGACTTACAGCTGGCACTCAGTAAGAGGTTGGTTAATTAATAGGGGGTTGGTCAATAGGGGGGTTGTCACCCAGGTGGTAAATTTTGACTCATCCCAGCCATAACAGCAATTGGTAGTTGGCATTCTAGGCCAGCAAGTACAAAGTCCAATCAGGATGTGAGCAAATGCTTCAATGTGTACCAAACACAAACTGACAGTGCATGGTGCTTGTCTATGTCAAGTCGATCTAATTCATCATATCAAAATATCATTAGGACAGTCGGACAGAACATTATTAACATTTCCAACCTCAATGAAATGAATTAGCCTATATATATATATATATATATCAATTTAACTCATCCTACAGACACTTAAAAGCACGTAACCAGTTTTAGCAGAGAAGCATGCTGAACCGGATAACGAATGCACGCTCCACACTAGAGAATCTGCCTTTTGTTTCCCAATGAGATATTCTCGTGTGCGTATCGCCATTCCACGTCCAGATGTTTGCAGGAAATCTTACTTCGAAGCGGTCAGAAACACGGGCTGGAGTCCGTCCGCTGGTACTTTGTGTTAGTCGGCTCGGTGTATTAGCACACAGGCTCGCCTTGTAATAATATGCTAATATCCACACCAATCTAAATCTCGATGCAGGCAACATGACAATGAGGAAGAGAGATGTGAGTTAGGGACAGTCTGTTTCAAATAACAAGCTATAAAACAATAATGGAAGGAGATAATTACCTATTTATGCAAGCGTTGTATCTGGTTAGGCAATGTTAGCGAGTATGTCTTCATGGACAGTAGGAGCCTGTCTACATCCGATTCTCCCCTTCTGCACAAAGAGGTCAAATGTAGTTCTTCCTCCGTCCAGTACTCACTAGCAATTTGTTAGTGTTGATATGTTCACCAAGGAAAAATATTAATCTGAGCGAAGGCATGTGCTACCCACGATTGTCACGTGGCGTACCGGTAAGATCGTGCGGCGTGTTTACAGGCGCAGTGTCAGCTGATGACATTTGTTAATGGCGTGATCTCATGGTGTGACGTAGTTGGGGCACCGTAAGGAGTTGAGAACTCAGGTACAATTGCACGTTTGCTTCCTATTTTAAACATGTCTCTATCGCGATCGATTTAAGTCAGAAGAACTCTTATCAGCGGTTTTTAAAAGGAAACAGAAACGCTTTGCTTTCTAAGATGATATTTTTATATGTTTGTGGAACAACCATTTGCAAGTTCATTGCAGATAGCGATACTGGATAGGCCTAATAATCGCGTAAAATGTTTTTCGTAACCATATGGATCGTTTTAAATTGGGTATTGGTTCGGTTCTTATTTGGAAAAAATATGTTTTTAAACTGTGCAGACATCAGATTGCGGTCAAAAGTTATTAATAGAATAGTAACCTTTATCCGATCATGCACCCATCTTGTGAACCACCCCATGCAATGATCCTGATGTGACCTCGAAGGGTCAAGGTGAGATTTGGGGAAATCCATGTTCTATATTTATGGTAACACTTATCACCGTACGAACAGTTTCGAAATAGATGCAACTCTACAGAGGGTGCCAACAAGTAAACTAGATTCTAATTTTCACATAGAATGTCAGGGGCACAACTAGGTTAATTGTAAGTGTAAGCAAAACCAATTTTCCAAACGCGCAAGGGATCGAGGGTTTGGTGGCATATGCTGCCGAATCGATATTACTTTATGTGTTTGTACACACCACACCAATCTGAATTTCGATGCAGGCATACAACTATTTCATACAAATTTTCATACAACTATACTTACGAGTATTTCTTCAATTTATGTCCTAAAGGTTTCGTTACTTCGTTACTGATATGTACTGATACTGAACTGAAAATACAACAAATGATTTGGGTTTTTTTGGTACTTTTTAAATTCAACTTTGAAATGAACACTGACCTCACCTTGAGACCTTGGTCACAACAATGAAATACTTATTAAATATAAAGTCACCAAGTCATTGACAGAATCGCAGAATCTTGATTTACGAATTAACGTTGAAGTGTTTGTGACAAATAGCCTTTCAATCTTTGTTGACGGTCTACATTAAAAAAAACTGCAACGTGTCGTCTATAGGAGACATAACTTATACAACTTGATAAACCATCTACCACGAAAATCCTAAAGTGCGTAAAGATTCCGGTTTTCAAGTTAGACAGTACATATCATGTTAAACCCAATACAGTTTGAATTCATAATTTACTGTATAGATGGCAAATTAAGGTTAACTTATTTCTTTATAAAATGTGCTTATTTTAGGTGTAAGTACTTGTTTTTCTGCTACAATGCTAGTTGTATATGTTATTGATTTGTCACCCTTTAAAATCTACAAAGTATTGCAAACAAATATCTAGTGATACTTGTCTCCAATATCATTAGATTCGCATAAGAAACATTTTCTCACATTTTCTAACAGAGGCATATGTTTCCACCGCCCCGACAGTTCAAACATTTTTTTCTTTACTTTCTTGAGAAAGCGCCCTGAAGGAATGTCTTGTTTGGAAGAACGTTCTCGCCACTAAACACTAAGGGGCCGGTCATTTATTACAGGGGTTGGTGGGTCAGAGGTTTTTATGCACCTAGGTACTGAAATTAATTCCCCTTCACTAATGCTTGTCATTTTTTATGACCCTCCCCATGTCCTTGTACATTTTTTCATGACCCTCCCCGAAAAGACAAAATGCCTGATACGGGCATGCCATGCTTGAACGATGTGAAGCTGAAACCAGTTAGAGCAGCCCACCAGTCCCCGCATGCATGCCCTAGCCATGCAGTACGACTGGTCATCTAAGTGCTCTGCCGACATCAGAGCGTGTGAGTTGGTCATGCGTCAGCATCATACTCTGTATGCGGACAGCTTGATGGAGTAAAGTGATATTCGACTTTGGACTTGTAAACCGACGCGAGAGCCTCCACCACAACAGCCCACTACTACGTCAAGGCAGTGATGGGCTAGCGACGTATCATATGATCTGTCTACCCGTTCGCCGCGTTACACTTCAAATCCGTCTTACAATACAGGTGTTGGGGACTGGGATAGTCGGACAATACAGGTTTTGGGGACTGGGATAGTCGGACAATACAGGTGTTGGGGACTAGGATAGTCGGACAATACAGGTGTTGGGGACTGGGATAGTCGGACAATACAGGTGTTGGGGGCTGGGATAGTCGGACAATACAGGTGTTGGGGACTAGGATAGTCGGACGATACAGGTGTTGGGGACTGGGATAGTCGGACAATACAGGTGTTGGGGACTAGGATAGTCGAACAATACAGGTGTTGGGGACTGGGATAGTCGGACAATACAGGTGTTGGGGCGGGGATAGTCGGACAATACAGGTGTTGGGGACTGGGATAGTCGGACAATACAGGTGTTGGGGACTGGGATAGTCGGACAATACAGGTGTTGGGGACTAGGATAGTCGGACAATACAGGTGTTGGGGACTAGGATAGTCGGACGATACAGGTGTTGGGGGCTGGGATAGTCGGACAATACAGGTGTTGGGGACTGGGATAGTCGAACAATACAGGTGTTGGGGACTGGGATAGTCGGACAATACAGGTGTTGGGGACTGGGATAGTCGGACAATACAGGTGTTGGGGACTGGGATAGTCGGACGATACAGGTGTTGGGGACTGGGATAGTCGGACAATACAGGTGTTGGGGACTGGGATAGTCGGACGATACAGGTGTTGGGGGCTGGGATAGTCGGACAATACAGGTGTTGGGGACAGGGATAGTCGGACAATACAGGTGTTGGGGACTGGGATAGTCGGACAATACAGGTGTTGGGGACTGGGATAGTCGGACAATACAGGTGTTCGGGGCATGGTAATCAAATTCGATAGAGTGAGTTTAAACATGAAATAGGCATCGGGAGGCAATAAGGCCTAATGTTTACCAGATCGAACATAAAAATGTGTTTTTTTTTCAGACTTACCTAGTCTGATCCAAGCTGTGAAATGAAGTCGGACTATAAGTTTGTGCGAGGGTGATAGAGCTCCGACGGACAGTAAAGACGGGCCAGAGATCTGCAGTTGACTGACTATACATACAACGCAGTGTGTTGAACTTTATATCCAGTGACAACCACGGGAAAACCCTGTTCGCGGTGGTATAACCCAATTATAATTATGTTGACATGAGTTCAAAGTCGAACTTCTGTGCTCTGCCACGGATATCGGGTCAGATAGCACTGGCGACAGACTTCAGTGTTGTGTTTGTGAGAACAACCGAAATATTAGTCAGTGGTTTATTTATTGTTTTGGTAACCACCTTTCCCCCCATAACCTTCTCTATTACACAGTGGGATCCTCTGCGCGCACTCTCTGACCGCTTGTCAGCTTACACTTGTGTGGGTTACTTGTCAGGGAGTAACAAATGCAACATGTAGGAGGAAAATGCATAGTTCTATGAAAGTGGTCAGAAAATATTATGTGTGGGTATAAAAAAAACAATGTCTGCCTCAGACATAGGTATTACGCTAGCTAGGTGATCGGGATATTGCATAACGTTCATTTTTTTGCTCTGTTTTTGTGACTCACCATGAAAATCTTGATATTTCTTTTCATTTTCACTTTTATGAAACAAGAAAAACAAAATCCTGAAATAAATTATACTTGTAAATTATACTGACCTATCTTGTGTATTATAGAAAATGAAAATAAGAGGCTAGTGTCTGCGGTATTGCTTAAAATGTTGTTCCACCCCAGAAACAATCCCACTTGAACGAAAACTGGATAAGTGTTTAACAAAATAGCGTTTCTGCCTTTGTATCAACCTTTGAGGTAGTGACAGGTATATGTGTAACACATGGTAACAGATAGATGTGTAACACATAGTAACAGATAAATGTGTTCTATGTAGTAACAGATAGATGTGTTATATATAGTAACAGATAGATGTGTCACATATAGTAACAAGTAGATGTGTTATATATAATAACAGATAGGTGTGTCACATATAGAAACAGATGGAGTGAGTTATGTTTAACGCCGCTTTTAACAGTATTCCAGTTATATCGCGGCGTGTCAGCTTAATGTGGGAGGAAGGCCCGAAGTGATGCAGGTCTCAGACGTTTACCACTTCGGTGAAACCCGCGAGCACGGGTATGGTGCTGACAAACCTAGAAACATAATCGAGGCGAACCGGGATTCGAACCCACAAACAGATGGATGTGTAACATGTAGTAAGAGTTGGTAACATATAGTAACAGAAATATGTTTAACATAGTAACAGATAGATGTTTAACATATAGTAACAGATGTATGTGTTACACATAATAACAGACAGATGTGTTACATATAGTTACAGATAGATGTGTTACATATAGCAACAGACAGAAGTGTAACATATAGTAACATATAGATGTGTTATATATAGTAACAGATATATGCGTTACATATAGTGACAGATAGTTCTGTTCCATATAGTAACAGATAGATGTGTTACATATAGAAACAGATAGATGTGTCACATATAGTAACAGATAGATGTGTTACATACTGTAACAGACAGATGTGTCGCATGTAGTAACAGATTGATGTGTAACATATAGTAACAGATGTGTAACATATAGTAACAGAAATATGTGTAACAGAGTAACAGATAGATGTTTACCATATAGTAACAGATATATGTGTTACATATACTAACAAACAAATGTGTTATATATAGTAACATAGAGAGGTTTTGCATATTGTTACAGACAGATGTGTGGCATATAGTAAGAGATAGATGTGTTACATATAGTAACAGATAGATGTGTTACATATAGTAACAGATGTATAAGATATAGTAACAGGTAAATGTGTAACATATAGTAACACATGGATGTGCTACATAAAGTAACAGGTAGATGTGTTTCATATTGTAACAGATGTGTAAAATATAGTTGTGACAGGTATATGTGTAACAAAGAGTAACATATAGATGTGTAACATATAGTAACAGATAGATGTGTTCCTTATAGTCACATATAGAT